TTGATGTGCTCTATCATCTCAAGTTGCAACTATTCGAAAAGCTGGACTGCGTTATCATCTCCTTTTTGTAGTGCTTAGGATCTCATTTTATTTTCAAACAGAGTTGGGAAGCCCTTTTTAAAAATTTACACTACTGTTTTTGAAGGATTTCCCTTAAGAATGGATGTTGCAGTGGGACAGAAATGCTTGTTCGAGGAGGCTCGTCGAATCAAAGGAAAGAACGACCTACCGAAACGAGTAAAGCAAATGTACAATATTGGAAGTTGAATCAAAGATTAGTCGTGCATTAATTAGTGTTTAGATGATGTATAGTGTTTTTTTCTTTTTGTTATCTTATCTTATGCTAATGAATTTTTGTGGTCTAAAAACCTTATTTGTTTATGGTCTAAGCCATGTGATTACATCATTACAACCTGTTTTGTTTGAACCTATTTCAGAAAGTTTTTTTTCCGCTTTTAAGAAATGGAGCAGATGCCCAGTGAAGGAGTGGAGGTAGATGTCAAGCCTGTGGGCTTGGATCATACTTATTTTGCGGTTATATGCGCTATTCTAGTCGTTCTTGCGACTATAGCTTTCTTCCTCTTCAGGTTATATACTGCTTTTACAACTTGACGTAAGCTTTTCATAATTAGATTAGTCTTAACTATTTTTTTTGCAGAGCTTTAAGAGATAAAGCCGATACTTATTTGATAGTTGGCCTCAGCGACTCCGGGAAAACACATATTTTTGGGAAGATTGCTAACAGAAGTATGTCAATAATTTAATTTCTCTACTCTTCTAGTTATTCAGTAGAACCATCTCTTTTTAAACACCGACTTTTGTTTCCTACCTATATACTTCGAATTTGACAGACCTGGAGCCAGTAACATACACATCTTTTCAAGAAAATGTGCTCGATTTGGACGTCAAAGGCAAGCATCTTAAGGTACGTCGCTTGGAGCTATATATTGTATTATAACATTTGTGGTTTTAGAAGTTAATTCAATATAGCTTGTTTTTTTAATCATGCACTTTAATCATTTTATATGTTTAAACTTTGCTAGTGTGCGCGCTCAGGTGTTTCTCTGTTTCTGTTTTGTTTTCGGAAGATTGATATGCCTCTGCATTAAATACCACATAACTCGTAACTGTAGTAATTTATCTTTCGTTCGCGGATAACTAGGTATCTTTTGCGCATCGTATTTGCAGCCTTCTCTCAAAACAAACTTCTTCTTTGTGTTTCGTTACTTAAATCACTCTGGTCGGTGTTTTCCAGGTGGTCGACTTTCCTGGTGCAGAACGACTGCGTAAACATCTAGTTGAGAAATGGCTGAAAAAGGTAAGGGCTTTAAACAGTTAAGTATAAGATAAATAAATGATCTTAAACTGTGCGTTCATTCCTAGCTTTCCAGTACTTTTTCTTGCTTAATAAATATTCTTCATGTTTTGTTTTCCTAAGACAAATAGAAATTTAAAGGCATAATTTTTCTTTCTGCTTTATTGTTTCTGACCTTTGCTTCCACATGCTAGACACAATTGATTTAAAACCTTTATTTCTCTTATGTGGATCTACTTGAGCAAGGTCCCAAACATGTTAATTGGATGTCACTTTCAGGAACGTTCTTCACTGCGTGGTATAGCATTTGTTGTTGATTCTTCCTCGTTCTCTAAACGCTCGCGAGATGTAGCAGAATTTCTTTATGACGTAGCGCTAGAAAGTGGGAAGAAGGTGAGTAGTTCTTTCCTCTGGTTAT